CATCACATGGTTTACTCACATCTGAGAAAGAATGCCCAACGTGGTTAACTGTTTCCACATTTCTATGCAATATTGAGACTTCTTAGAGACCAAATGCTCTTTATGGTCGTTAAACTTGGCTTTAGTGAATGGTGGACTGACCACTAGCATGTTCTTCCTCAAAGTAGGAAGTTTCTTTCCCATTTCTAAGAAAGCATGACAATTTTTGGTTTTCCCATTTCAGCTATGAAACTTCTCCCTCTCCCTCTTATTTTAGGTTTTGTAACAAAGAGCTCGACTAGTTTTCTTTTTTTTTTTAATTTTTGATTTTTTATTATTTTTTGATAATGCCTTGGTACCGTGGTCAGGGTTGATCACTCACCAACGTAGGACAAGGTATTCCACCCTTGCAACTGAAACTCGTGAGGGAGAAATCTTGTGCGGCTGAAACTCGTGAGGGAGATGACCCTTGCTACTATAACTCAGAGCTTGCGACTGAAACTCGTGAGGAAGAAATCCCGTGCGGCTAAAACTCGTGAGGGAGATGTCCCTTGATACTATAACTCAGAGCTTGGTCACAAAGGAGAAATCACTTCGTTGCAAGGGAGAAATAAGGTGAGAAAACATATAACTCAAAAGAGGGTTAAAATTGTCCGAATAGTTATTATAAGGATAGTATGGGGATTAAAAGATATTGCAACGACGGATTTTGGATGGAAGGTTAATGAAAGGGGGTCTTTGTCTCATGGTCATAGTATAGGGGGTCTTTGTCATAGATCCCATAGTATAGGGGGGTCTTTGTAATTTACCCTTCAAAAAAGTGCAAATATTTGAGACTTTGCGAGAAATGCCTAACCCACTATCCCACCTATTTTATATCTTCTTTGTAATCGCTGAGATTAAAATTGATATCAGCATCAACTCCCTGAAAGCAACAATGACCAGATATCAACCATGTGAGTCTAAATTGAAAAAACCTCCCTTCTGTGGATATCACGTGAATTGGTTCGTTTATGCCCACCATCGATCTAGTGTTGTAGAGTGAGATAGTGTACTGGATCTCTGGTGCAAATTCAATGGTCCGGGTATCAGAAGATGTGATGTGTCTGGAAGGGGAAGTGCACCACAATTCTTCCGTTGTGCATCGCGAGGAAGAAGATAAGTAGTGTTCGAGCGAATTATGGAGTTGCTGAGACAAGACTGTTTTAGTAAAAATAAATGCACATTAATTTGTAAAAGGGTAAAATAAGTGTTTTGAAAAAATGATCATCTCTTTAACGTTTTCCGTCTTGGTCATTAACGGAAGAGAGGTATTTGTTGAATTTTTCAAGAATAGAGGGGAGGTTTTTGCTAAAGTAAAACTATAGGGGAGGTTTTTATGATTGTTAGAAACTTCAGGGGAGGTTTTTGTATTTTACCCTTAAATTTTCATAAAAGTACTTTTATAAAAATGCTTTCGTAAAATTTGAAAGAAAATGAAGGACAAAATAGTCACAAATGCTTATTTAAGTGCTTATTGGAGAAAAAGACTACCAAAAACCCAATATAAAACTTGAAAAAGTTGGATGCCAAATGCAAACGAGTGCTTATTGGAATAAGCACTTGTTTTTAACCACTTATTCAGGGGTTGCTTGGGACTGGTGCATTTCACGATTGTTCCATTTCGTTTCTTGAATCGGTAAAAAAATGGTAATTGGTAGCCCTGTTTAAAAAAAAAAAACATTTTTGTAATAATTAGCTTTGGGATTCGAGAAAGGAGAGGTTTCTTCAAATGCCAAACTTTTTGTTTCTTGAATAGCTTGAGTGATCTTGAATCACCCTGGTGACATGGCACATTGAAATTTGAAAAAACTGACCAGTTTTTGAGGTGCCACATAGTTGTCATTATAAATATATTATAATATTAAGCTAAATCACTTTAAACTCACAGTCAACCTGTATCCCGTTTTTTTGTGTTTCTCAAAAACATAGATGAAAACGAATCACTTGTAATTCAGGGCTCACTTATGAAACAGAACAGTCGTAAAACACACCGGTCCCAAACGTCCCCTGAATAAGCACTTATTTTTAACATAAACACTCCTAAACATAACCTTAATTGTAATCGCCAATCTAAGAATATTGCTACAAATGAATTTAATCAAATTCGGATATGGATATACCACCCGATCCGTTAAGAACACAAGAAATCTGGATTCGATACGGATCATTGCCCAAAAGAATCGATATGGATATGTGAAATATTGAATGGAATTTGATTTGAGATTTAATGATCCGTATAAAATCAATATAAATCTAATTAATTAAATGCAAAACGAAGAATCTATATATTGTGAAGAAACGAAAATAGGTTTTTCTAAACCCAAAATCACACTTAATCTTGAAAAGCATTACATTAAATTAAAATTCTAAAAATGGGTATTATATATATGTCTAGAATAGGATTGAAATGGATCGATCCTAACAGATGGTATCAAACAAGTAGTCAAATTCGATAGGTCCCATTAATAAACCAATGGAATTGAGTTGGCCCATTATAGTTTCTCTGTTGCTCGTCTTTTTGTGATAGACAGACAAATGTGGTAAAGCTTGACTAAACCTAGTGCAGCACTTGGCACAGTGTAACATGCATGTGAGATGAGCAACCCATCTTGTCCAATCTGCTACAATAGTGTGGAGGAGAAGGCAACCTTTTGTTCGGCGGGTAATCCTTGTTCTTTCGGCCATAAAGCTCTCTGTGATGTTTGGCAGGAAAAGAGTTCATCTAATTGGTCATCAGTCGCTCCTAAATCTCCTCTAAATCTGGAAGGATATTGTTTCTCTTTTGAAGATGTTAAATGCAACCCTTTTATCTTTTTCTTCAAAACTCAAAACGAAAACGGGAGAATCTGGTTCAGTTAGATTAGATACTCTTCGTTTGTCTTGTATTTACCTTTCACCATAAATCGGATGCATCGGCGATGGCGATGTAGTCATTGCAGCGCCCTTCCCCATTAATGTACGGTCCATGCTAATATGCCATTTCCATTAGTGTTTTATCAGAAATTCAGAATCAGAAAGCACTGTTCATAGTTCATACACTCACCTACAAGCAAGAGCTCGGCACCCACTACCCACTGGTTGGCTAGCTAGCTGCCGAGCGTTGAGGCAGTGATTGAATGCGCAACTCTCTCCCAACTCCCAAGTCCAAACAAAGTAAAAACATCTCTCAGTTTGATGGGTTTCCATTTCCATCAAATATAAAGCTCTTAGCTCCTCTGAGGCAGTGATTGAATTAATGTGCAACTCTCTCCCAAGTCCAAACAAAGTAAAAGCATCTCTCTCAGTTTAATGGGTTTCCATTTCCATCAAATATAAAGCTCTTATTAGCTCTGATCTAGCTTTAGAAGCGGTAATGACAAATTAGAAATAGATCTGAATTTTTAATTTCATGAACTTAATTTCTTCTTGTTGGGTGACTTGGGTCCCTACTACTGATGATGCCAACCCGGCTCACCCATTGAACTTGAACTCCTGTTGTTAGTTTCCAGAAATTATTTGACATTTCATATATATACTGTTTTTAGCTTTAGTTGCATATTTGCAATTGAGATCTTTTCAGCATGGAAGTATAAATTGAGCTAATGCATCCAGAAAATAAGGACATATCAGAATAAGAATTCTTGTGAAATTAACATTGGAATGTCCTCATTCTTTTTGAGGTGATTTCTAAACCCTGAGTATTGTGAAGAAAAGGGGTCTGAATTTACCTATTTCTGTAAGATGTGGAGAAGAGACTTGCTTTGAAATAGGTAGGCTTTCAGTGGTCAATGCCAAGACTCAGACTCTCGGCTATTCTCATAAAGGAGAAAGGAGAAAGGAGATGGAGAGAGGGAAGTGAATCTCTTCTCTCTTTCTCATCAATCATTGTGCACTAGGGCTGCAGTAATCAATCAACGGTCTCCAGTTCTCTACTACGCTCAGCGAGAGAGAGAACAGAGAGAGAGAGAGAGAGAGAGGAAAGAAGAAAAGGTAAGCGAGAGTTAACAAAACCCGACATAACCTGACTCATTTAACCCGAACCCGACCCATATCCCATTAAGGCTGCATTGATCAGGGCTGATTTACCGATTAACCTGATCCATTCACATCCCAAAAATAAGACGGGAAATGAGGATGGACTGGTTTGACTTTCTCCTTGGCCCGATCTGCTTTGATTTTACTGCCCAGAAGAATATAGACTAGAGTCATGCATATGTTTCATTATGCACTTGTGATCTGATTCTATTGATGACCAAATGGTGTTGATGGATGAGCATGTGAACCACATCTGTTATCTGGCCCAAGTGGAAAGCTTCTGTTTAATCACAGTTTTTTGTATTTGATGCATGGTAATTTTCAGCCCTTTTATTAGCAAAAAATGGCAAGAGGGAAAGCAAAAATATCACAGTCCACAGACAAAAGATCCTGCCCAAAACTTCAAACTGGGTCATGTTCTAAACCTCCAAAACTAAATTATTTAAATAATTAATGCCCGAAAATATGAAAGATAAATGGAGAAAAAAATTAACAATCTAACTGAAAAAAAAAAAAAAAATCGTTGATATTGACTAAGAGTATTTGGCATACAATTTAAAAAGGACCAAGGAACATCCGCTAGATCTCAGCTAGATTTGGCAAAAAGGTATAACCTGGCAGGCTAGTTTCTACATTCGCCAAGTAATAACCAAATATAGTAAGAAACATTTGCAGATAGGTACCTTCAATGGGATTTTCAGTTTCTGGATTAGAACTTGATGGGCATAGCTGCAACTCTCATTACCACTCCCTGAGACCCATCACAACTCTACAACATCAACAATTTTCTCAGGTCAGTGACTCCCCATTACTTTATTTTACTTGATTGTTCACCTTTATTTTTCCTTTGCTTTTGAGAGTTGGGTGGGTTCTCTTTCTTTTCTCTACTAGATTTGGTTCAAGATAAAGCATATCTATTGCTCTTGTTCTGATCTTGTTAAGATTTGATTGAATCAGAAGAATCCATGGAGAGAAACAGGTTGATGAACAGCATGAAAGACTCATCAGGTTTGGATCGTATAGACCTTATAAACAGCAGCAGCAACAACAAAGTTAGAGACTCTTGGGAGTATAACAATGGCAGTTTTGGAGGAGATATGTTAGGTGGGTTTCCATGGCCTCCAAGATCGTATACATGTAGCTTCTGTAAAAGGGAATTTAAGTCTGCTCAAGCTCTTGGGGGTCATATGAACGTTCACAGGAGAGATAGAGCCAGGATGAGACAATCACCTCCATGGGAAGTTCAGTGTTCTCAAAACAAGCCTAACCCAAATCCCAATCCAAGCCCCAATGTTGATTTCTTATCATCATCTCACTCCACTAGACTCCCTTCATTCACTTACACATTTCCTTCATTGCTTTCACCCTCTCTTGCTTGTTTCTCTTCATCACCCACTTCTGCATCCTCCGCTGAACTGAAGACAAGGACTGGTTCTCTGCTAGATGCTTCGTGCAGCTCAAAAGGCGGAGATACTGCACAGAGTAGAACTATGAAACCTCGCTTTGGGGTTAGAGAATTGAAGGGTCTTAGGCAACAAGATGAGTGCAAGCTTTTGAAGACGGCAGAGATCGTTAGGCTGGATCTGGAGATCGGTCTCTGTAGAGAGTCAAAGGAGGATTTGGATTTGGAACTTCGACTTGGGTACTACTAGCTAGCACCTCTTATGCAACTTAAATTTGTAGACATAAGTTACTGTTTCTCCATGATTATTTAGGTTCTTGAGCACTAATCTTTAGTTTATATGAGCTGCATTTTATATGTCTACTATTAGGAAATACAGTCATGGAGAAAGATAAGTGGATCGATGTACACACAGAGGCACCATATAGAGGAAGTTTTACCATTCAGTGGGATGATTCAATGTTAGCTTCCATTACATGTATCCATGTTCTCTTATTCCATGAACTTTCTATTTTCTCCATGACATTTTTTGTTTTTTCTTTGGCTGAAGTTCCATCTCTCTCTCTCTCTCTCTTTCAGTTTAACTCCAGATCACGAAATATGAAGTTTTTTAGACCTTGTGTGATGTTACTCAAAGAAATATATGCAGATCACCCTACCAATGCTTCATGATCTAGAAAGAAGGGTGTGCATGTGCAGAAGAAAAATAAAATAATATACAACACAAATTCAAGTATGGGAGAAACTAGTGTGACACGTGATGTTGCATGATGGTGCACGTGTAAAGACGAATTTTGGTTTGTTTCATATATATAAAACTTAAACTGGTACATAGATAATTAGATATGATGGTATCTTGGAGTCCACTGCAGTGGGGTTTAATTTTTTTTTAAAGTTTTGTGCCTTTGTTTTGGGTATTATATCTATTCTATGGAAAAAGAAAAATAACAATTAAACAGAAAAAGAAAATTAAGGGTGAAGCTGTTTCATATTAAATGTTTTAACTAGGATGCCACCTTTACTGTTTTGTCAAGCTTTGAATCAGGAAGAAGAGAGAATTACAATCATTACACAAGAAGTCCATACAAGACATATCCTAGGAGATCAAAATAGATTAAAAGAACAACCCCATGCCTAATCATGGTATTAACTATCTTTGTTTTAGCTAAAGTAATAAGTTAATTTTGTTCTGATGTAGCATGGGCAGTTGGATAATAAGCCCATTGGCTCTGGTTACTGTCGTATAAAATTTTTATATTAATTGTTACAATTTGATAGTATTTAGGGGGCACTCTTTTTTTAGATTTTGAGAGGGGAAAAATTTGGTCAATGGGATTTTGATTTCTATTGATAAAAAATCCCATATTCTTTTTTCAGATTAATGTGGGGATTAGGGAAAGTTCATTTTCCTGTGTATCACAATCACCCATCTCCTAGGTGGGTAAATAACTTTTCCACTTGGGGGGGAAAGTTTCCAACATTTGAATGGGACAAAAATGCCCCTTTTAATAATGAATTTTTATGGTTAAAATGGCCATTTCCTTTTTTACTTGAGAAATAAAAGAACATGGGTAAATACACTTACCTGGGTAAGTGTTTCCCAAGAAAAACTTACCCGGTAATTGCATTTACCTGGGTAAGTAACTTACCGAAAAGCGAACGGGGCCTTAGTTGTTCGTGCCATTTGAATTAATCTACATTGTTCGGCATCTTTAGTTTCACATTTAAGAGAGAAAGTAACAAGACATCGTAGGGATGGTAATGGAGGGGGTTCAAGGAGGGTTTGGTAAATTTTAAACCTTATTTGCCTCCTTAAATTTCCCAACCTATACCTGCTCCAAAATCTGTAGTGGATTGAATTTTGAGAATACAAACCTTTCTCATACATGAAAACGTAGAACCCTCCCCAACCCTACCCTCCCCGATACCATTCAAAGGGTAGGGGTGGTTTGGGTTTAGAACCCATATCTGATTTTTTATTATTTCATGTCATATATAAGCAATAAATAAGTAAAACAATACAAATAAACAATAAAATTTTCAATTATTTGATTAAGACATGTAGAAAACACACAAACTATCAATTATCCTTTACATAAATTTCAAAATATTATTAAATTCAACACTTAATACATAAAGTTTATATGTTTTTCAACAATATGCGGGTCGGAGAGGATTGAGTTTAGTCTAATATCATACCCTACCCATACAGATTGTAAAATCCAAAAATCCATCATTCAAATAAAAAAAAAAAAAATTGCCATCCCTAAGAAAATAATGATGAGACTCAACCTATTTGCAAAAATTTTGAAATGACCTTTTTGAATATATATATATATATATATATATATATATATATACCAACAAGATGGTTTCATTCTAGTTATTGAATTTGTATTCCAAAATATAAGAAAGCCACATACAATCCCTTCACATGCTATAAACAAATATAATTAGTAAAAGGAAACTCCAATATATGAAAGAAGGTCAGTCTTCCTTCTTATTATATATTATATTGAATAAAAAAACAAGAAAAAAAAAGAGAAGTGAGAACTTGAGAATAAGCAATCTTTGTTCATTCGTCCAGGAGTCTGCAACTACCCTTACCATGTCAATGATTCGAGGGGTTTCTTGGTCGTCCTTGGATGTGTTTTCCAATGCCCGCTATTTTGCATGTTCCCGACAATGTCTGGTCGCCAGTGGCATGATGGCTCTTTCCTTAAACAGTAACAGATATTCTACCCTCTCAATCGACCTCACACCTCCATGCCTCTTTCTCTCTCTCCTTTTTTTCTTTCTCTCTCTCTCTCTATATTTAGTATTTACAAGCCTCTCTCTCCTCTCTCCTCTCTCCTCAACATTTACAAGCCCTACTCAGCTAAAGTCAGACTGTGAATAGTGATGAGTATCTTGTATTAAACAGGACTCACGTCATCTTTTAAACTCGTACTGAGTCTGACTTCCCCCTTACTAGTTTTTCTTAATTACGAAAATATCCCTACATTACTAACACTTTCTTTCTCTGATCACTCTTCCTTTATTCACTTTCATATATTGCATGAGAGTGCCCATACTGATCCCTGACATTCGCGTGTTATACTTCCAGTACAGAGAGCACACCCTTTGATGTTTCCTACTCAACCAGAATGTGTCTATATATAGATCAACATGATCTAATCCTGATTAACAATGCAGATTAACTCATAATCTAACCTATCAACTTATTAATCTACCCCAACATTTCAATAAATGACAACAGTACCTAGTCCAATGTTCCTAGTAATGACCATCATCATTGTCATCATCCTCACTTTGTCTCTCTTCAAGCTTTTGAGGTCAATCGCAAATTAAGTCATTTGCTCTTTCTACAGCCTACTGTTCTAAATTAAAATTTATAAATTAATCTAAAACAACAAAATGCCCATGAAAAAATGCTGGAGATATATGGATGGTTTAAAAATTTGTGTGATCACTTAAAATTTTTGTTTAGAAGATATCCTAAAGAGATGAACCCACCATCCTTTGAGCAACGGATCTTGATTCAGGGATGAGAGGTAAAGAACAACCGACCTTTGGTAGCAATAAGAGAAGAGAAATGCAGAAGAGATGACCTTTTCCAAAATGAAGGATTGAAGGATGTAGGGGCAGAATAAAAATAATATGGGGCCTAAGTGGTGAGAACTGAACTGATTTGAGGGAGATCACATCCACTGTGACCACAATCACAATCACAGCATGCATTTTCTTGCAACCCCCAATAGAATAACATGCTAGTGATCAAATCAAAAAGACAATTTCTATGATGCCCGAAGGGTAGGATGGCAGAAGAACTTTGACCAGAAGAATTTTGATGAACACCAATTGATTGGTTATATCAGTTTTTCAGGCATTATGCCTCTATACGGTGTCATAGTACAACTCAATCAAAATATTATATTAGGATGTCTTCACGTTGTTTGGGTTCAACGTGATTGCGAAGTAATTACTAGAGTTAAAAACTTAGAATTAAACTTCCTTTAATGCAAGTAATTCCAATAATTTCTTTTGAAAATGGGGAAAATATTTGAATATTCTCATCATGACCTTTATCTAGATAAATGAAAGATTTGTTACAAACCCTTACAGGTTCAAACACCATTATGAAATCTCTGATGGTAGGAGTGTTCACGGTTTTGTTACCTTTTTTTTAACCAAACCAATTAATACTACCATTTTTTGAAAAACCGGTAATTGAAACCAATTGGTTAATCAGTTGATTGGTTTGGTTTTTTAGTTTTTTGGTTTTTTAATTTTTACAATATATATTATAAAAATAAATAAATATATAATAAAAATTTACAAATATATGTATAATATTATATTTTAAATAATAAATAATATATATCATATATTATAAACATATATTTATATATAATGCATATTTATTAATTTATAATATATAAAATATATAGGAATATATGTATACCGGTCGGTTCGATTAACCGCTAATTTTCTATATTAGTTAACCGAAACCGAATCAGTACCTTCGATTTTTTAAAAACACCAAACCGACCGATTCAGTTTTGGTCGGTTCGATTTTTCGTTTTTTTACTCATCCCTATCTGATGGGGAAGGAGAAAACTATGTACTACCCAAACCACAAGGGATTGATAGAGGGGTTTTTTCGTCTAAGGGTACTTCAGATAATGGTGAGTCATGCCCTATCATACAGTCAAATTTTAGGGTTTGGCAATTCGTGGCTCCCAATTAAGAACCAAAATCCTTACAGATAGTTCAAAGTGGGATCTGTTTGCCAAAGCGTCTTCCGAGGAAAGTCATTTATTTTCCTTTTATTTTGACAATAGCTAGTTCAAAGTGCTATTGCTTTGGTCAGAATCGATAGACTATTAACAGATATTGAAATTTCAACCCGATTCTGATTGGGTCCTCGTTTGGGATGGGACTTGAGATTCCTTCTAAACCAACCATTCTAATGCAAATACTAAAAGAGCAGGACAAGTAAAAGCCAAAGCCTAACCCTAACCCTACAAATGTGAGGAGTGTAGCCCTAATAATGAAGGGAAGGCTTACAAATTGAAAAAGATGGTTGGGATTGGAAGTACTTGAAGAGGCTTTTTAATGTGTAGGACTCCTAAGCCAATCTCCCCAAGCAAATCAGCATCTTCCCTTTCATGGAAACTGGAAAAGAGCTCAAGAAGTCGTGTCCACCTTATATATAAAAGGAAATCCGACGTAAACCCATTTGTTGAC